TATCCTAGAACATCCAGATAATTTCGAGAAGGTGACACAGGATTGAAAAAGATTTCAGACAAAAGCGACTTATGCGACTTCGAAGGGGATATAAGGTACCAATCACACATCGATTTAACTTTGGATGACATTGTCAAGATCACTTTGAAATTTTTAAACGGAATTCCCCATTTTTTATCGCATACTTTCATAATTAATTATCATTCGTAGCTTACTTCAAGAACTTTTCAAAACACTATAATAAAATATTTTTTCATTAAGTATTTTTCAAGTTACAATGTTTAAAAGTTACATTACTGCTGACATTAGCATTATTCAAGATGTCCGACCGACGTGACGGCTAAAAATGTTTACGACTCTTAAATATTCATCATAATTCACTTCGTACTATTATTAAATAATCTAATCAAAATTCACTTTTTTTTTCATTTATCAGCTGTGGTAATCGTTAATAGGATAGGATTAAGAAATTTATGCGGATGGATCATCCCTCTTTTATAAAAATTAAGTTTGTTGTTTACCCATCGTTATCCCAGTGTTGATGAAGACGTTGCCTATCAAGCCTAGCGCGCGTGTGACGCCTATTTTAATGCCTCGCTACTGTAAGTCGTGCGTTCCTATAAAAAGCGGCGGTGATTATATCGACATTTAAACGATAAGGAATACCCAGCGCAAAGTCGTACCTACGTAACGACTGAACCCAATAAAACACGATCTTCGATGTCATAAAATGTGTCTGCAACGATTATTAACCGAGTCATTAAAAAAAAAAAAAGAAATGTCGGTGACATGGGTGAGAAGTGGTGACTCGCAAATTTATCAGATTGTTCGTTCGGGGAAGTTTCAGAGAGGCGAGGGTCGCGTCGAGTCTGTCCATCGAACATTGTCAACCTGCGGCGCAGCGGTATCAAAGAGCGTAACGTCGCGACGACGACAACCTCCACGGCGAATATCAAGAGGAGCCCGGCGATGAAGCAGGAACCGAAGAACGAAGAAGACAGTTATTTCGACGAATCAAGCATGCCGGCTGCGTCAACGACACCGCCTCCGCCGACGGCATTGCCGTCGACGGCATTGCCGCCGACGTCGTCCTCGTCATCGTCTGGCTGGCATGGAAGCGTCACGCACCGCGTGCGTTCCCACGCGCGTAGCCTACGTGCCATGGCGAACCCCAGTGCGGTCTGGGCACACTTCGATCTATGCACTGACGATCCGTTGCGCGCCCAGTGCCGCATCTGCGGGGCGGTTGTCGTTCGAGGCGGTGCGAATCCGCGTCAGTGCGGAACGACAAATCTGCACCGGCATCTCAGGGTACATCACGGGGGCAGACTGATCGGCAGACGTTATCATGGTAAATATAAAATATCATTAGGGTACTTTCTAAATTTCTTCAAGTTTAAGTTCAATTTTTTCATTGAGGTGTAACACAGGCCAGAAGCCTAAGAAAACGGAGAAGACTTTTGCAATCTAATTGAAAAAATTGTAATCTTGAAAAATATGAATTAAAATAGCATTTTTCCAGGTTTGGATAATAACTAGTTAAAACGTTAAAAGTTAAAAAAAATTAAAAAGTTAATAACTTTTAACTTTAAGTTAAAAGTTATTAACTTAACTCAGTTAATTTTAAATGCATTAAATTTTAACTTAACTAAGTTACTTTGAAACGTTAACTTTTTAATTTTTTTTTAAGTTAAAAAATTTTTTTATCTCTTAAATATCTTAGAAAAATAATAAGATATAATAAGAGCGTATATTCGTAATCTGTACATATTTTAAGAGATCCATCTTAAGTAATTTCTTAAGATAATACAGTCCTCTGATTGGTTTATGCGGTTATGCCTAATGCCATAAGCAGTCTAAATCTAATTTTAAGCCTTAAGTCATAAAAAATAGATCAATTACAATCAAATATTCTTCTCGCATTCGATCGCATTGTAATTGGTCAATTTCTTATGTCTTAAGACTTATTAAAAAGTAATCACTGATCTTGTATCTTCTCGATGTGCTGACTGTTTTTTGTGTTATAAGTATATAACACATAACGATATAACTTATATAGTTATATCGTTATATGTTATATACTTATATGAATAAAAAAATTAAAAATTTAATTACTTAATAATTTATATTGTAGTTATTTAATCTCATTTTAAGAAAAATTGCGACATTTTGATCTAAAAAATAATTTTTTCAAAATTAACTTTTTTTTTTAATTTAAGTTAATTCAAGATTTACTTAACTTACGTTAAATTAATTTTTTATTCCTTCAACTTTTAACTTTATTAATTTTGTAAGGCCATTAACTTTAACTTTATTCAGTTAAAAAAAAACATTAACTTATCAACCCTGCATTTTTCATACAGAACAAATAATCGATGTCTTCTCGCTTAAAATTAGTTTCCTTCGATCGAATACATTGTATCTAATAGTGATCTATTTCACGTTTATTTAAATACACGTGTTACGTGTAATTAATATTTATATCCATGTTTTAATCCGTGTAATTTTTAATACACGAATGTCATAAAATACATGTTGAAATGCATATCTGTGTATTTCAATACAAGATTATATATGTGATTATTTGAAATATACGAGTACACATGTAACGTATTCATATTTTATTTCGTGTGATTATTAATGTATAACAAGATATCCGCATATTAAATACATTTACGGCGTAACTAAACTAATTATCGAAATTGTTGTTATAATAATTGAGCGAAATATTAAAATTTTTTTAATTTTTTTGCTTGTGATACATTTTTTTTTCAATTAGTCAAATATGTATTTACAATTTAATATTGTATAATAAAAGATTATTATATGCAATAAATGCAACTATAAAATGTTTATTTTCTCATTTTTATTTCTTAATAAATTTATCTCTCTCTCTTTCTTTCACAATTAATATTTTATATTTTATATTTATTTATAATAAACGATTTATTAGAACTTACTTATAATGTGAATACAGGCAAGAAACAAAACTTATGACAGTCGAATCTTAAGTGCTCTAAATAATTTCGTGTGAATATTTCATTTGTATATCATATTTTGTAATTTCTTGAATTGCGCGCACGAATTGATTTTTTGAACTTAGAAATGCAAACTGATTGAAGTTACGTTAGTAGAAATGGGCATTAATTTTAAACTTTCGTATAACTTCTAATTCTAATGGAAATGAAATTTTAATTAAATTCAAGTTTTTCAACTAATAAAATAATTTTGATTAAACGATTTTTCTAATTACATAATTCTTCAAGTAAAGAATTAGAATTACAGAATTCAACATTCATAATCAGAATTTAAATCTAAATTAATTATCATCGCTATTTAAATTGCTCTTGACATTCTTTTCGCAGCATTCTTTCGACTTACATATACCATATAACAAATTTATTTTTTTGTCTTAGTTTTACAGTCAACGTCCCAAGGCAGTACAAGTTCGAAAGCAATAAGGATTGCAACGCAATCCTTAGTGAGACCTCACATTCGTAACATCGCACCAGCGCCGCTACCTCAGCAACAGCAGTCACAGCAACAGCAGCAACAACGGCAACCAAAGACTCTCGTATTAAAAACTATTCCGTTGAAAGTGAAACAAGTTGCACCTACAACTATCAAAATGCCATCGCGACAAACTAATCAAGGATCCCACAATGTTGTGCATCAGCAACCTACAGAAGTACAGAGATTCATTGCGAATGTTATATCTGTTATAAGATGAAAGTATAATTCGATACAGAGATTTCTATTAAACTCATCTTTTTCTCCATGTTTCAGGTTTGCCTAAGGTGGAATAGTTACCATAGTAATATGCAGAATAGCTTCCCGTCATTACTGGACACAGAACAGTTCGTCGATGTGACCCTGGCGTGTGAAGGGCGGTCTCTGAAATGTCATAAAATGATTTTATCTTCCTGCAGCGACTACCTGGCAGATTTGTTACGGGAGAATCCGTGTCAACATCCTATTATTCTAATGAAGGATTTGAAATTTTGGGAGGTGGAGGCATTGGTTAAATTCATGTACCGTGGAGAAGTCAATATCGCTCACGATAAATTGCCGCAACTATTGAATGCCGCTGAAGCGTTACAAGTGAAGGGACTAGCCGGTCCAAGTCCCTCATCTCAAGTAAGTCAGACATCAGATTTATTATATAATTACATTAGTCAATGTCTATGGAAAATTTTAATTAATTTATTTAATTTATTTAATTTATTTATATTCTTTTATATCGACAGAATACAAAATCACCGTTACTTATACCTCAAACAAAGCCATTGTCGTCTCAACATGTAGTTCCTAGAAGTACCACCGAATCCAAAGAGAATAAAACATCACCTTCAAGGGTGTCTATGTCTTCTAGTCCTAAGCGTGCGCAAAAGCGACAACAGTCCGAATCTATAGAGTCAAGACCTTTTACCAAAATACGTCTGCAGCGACCCATCACGCCAATGTCTCCATGTGCGACTGTAAAATTGGAGCCTTTAGATATACCTCTTAGCCCGACAGAGATATTCTCAGAGAATAACGAAGTCACAGCTTCTTCAGACTTTGAAAAACTTATGAGTTTACACGAGGAAGATGATTCAGGTGGCGAGGAAATTAACGATGGAGACGAGAGACTACATTTTTGTGAACTGCCAGCTCCGCCAGATTTAAACGATAATGAAGACCAAATGGAGTTTGTACCTACAGATTTTCTAGAGCAACAGCAAGACATTGTCGAAGAAGAATTAAGTTGTAATAAAGATAATAATAAAAAAGAATCTCTTGATTATGCTTCCGCTGACGTTGGCGAGGACAACGAAATCGAGCATAATGAAAAACAGCCCTTGAGAGAAAAGAAAGTGACATAGTAAAATAAGATATAGAGATATCTTATAATCTATGTAATAATTGGATTATCCTACAAATTTCAATGGAAACTAGTGTAAGAATATCTGCAATTTGTTTTTTTAAACTCAAGCGAAAAAATGCATTATAACAACAAACTGAATCAGAGTCATCATATGAGAACCAAGAACCAAAACAAAACAGATTGTTATTTTTGGAATCTATTAAGAATACTTTAGAAAATTTACCTTTAATTTTGCTGTTGTAATGAGATCTTTAATTGAAGATTAAATCTTACTATAGAGTTTGGAGAATTTCAAAGAAGGTACAATACATTAGATATTTCCGCTAGTCAAACGCGTATTTTTTCTCGCAATGTATATTTATTTAAATATCTACATGTATTAACTTCATATATACAAATGATACAAGCATCTGCTATAGATTGCGCATTTATTTTTAAAAGAATAATATAGTGTCCGCTTATAACGAATTTGATTGTCTTGTCAGCGGACGTGGATCTTATGTTGTGAAAATCTGAATTTTTAAACTTTAGACTTGTGTTGTATAACTTATCTTGTCTGATGAAAATGATAATGTATTATGTATCGATTCGTTGCGAATTATAATTATTTATATATTGGATATATGAATAAATTGTCATTGACGATACTCGCATTGTACGCGATTGAATTATAGATGTAAATTGTAATGAATGATGATACATCTTACAAATAAATGGCTATTACGTACAGTTTTGAATATACTAAAATTTTTATTATACGTACAGAGGCTGTCTTTATAAAGAGATGCAGGATTTTACGCGAAAAAAATGCGAGTCTTTATACGAGTGTAAATAAAAATGTAAACTTTTTTTATTCGCGTTGATGCGTTGAAAGATATAAATTTGACATCTTTGATATTCAACTTAAAAAAATAAAACGCTAATTGAAAAGAAAATCTGGAAGATCAAATTCCCAAATTAAAATTCCTACAGACGCTTTTCTTTGAACATAATTTTCAGGATAAAATGTTAGAATATTTCGGTTATCACAAATTTTAATAAAAATAACTTAATTAATATGTTTTCACGTAAAAATAAAGATTTTACAAAAAAAAGTCCCTCTGTCTTGAAAATTGAGATATTAATCGTTAAAATTGACAACTGATAATTTTTTAGAATGTTCCCTTCAATTTGGATGACTAGGCTTATTCGGCGCGTTTTTGCAGGAAATGAAAAGATTTGGTAGAAAAAAATGTCGCTCTTTCCCGCGAAGCGAGATATTAATTAAAATTAAAAATTCACTACTATTGAACTTATTATATTAAGTTATACTATTGAATTATAAATCGTTAGGAATTATAATTATAATCATTAGGAACCGCTCTTACTTATCGTAAGCCCGGATCTACAATAGGTATTTAAACCTTAAGGCCCTTAAGGTATCTTTTTAACCGATGCTTGAGTTCATTTTTAGTGGCAAAATAAGTCACGTGATCAAAATTGACGAATACCAAGTGCCAATTTTAATCAAGTGACCTATTTTGATGCTAAAAATGACCGTCAAGCGTCAGTATGAAAAAACAGCCTCACAATAATCGTAAACGCAGAATTTCGACCAATCGCGTTGCTCGATTCGGTCATCCAAAAATAAATCAATTAAAGTCCTCCGTTTTCTTCCTTTCCATGAAATAAAGAACTCTTGAATTTCTTATGCTTTATGTATTATGCGTTAGGCAAGAGTCCTCCCCGTTTAAAGCCTATTCCACACAAACTTGCATAGCCGCATAATCACATGCGTAAAGAAAATAATCCAATCACATTTCTGTCATAAAGACAAACGTAAAATATGATTAGATGATATTCTTTATGCATATGCTTATGCGACTGCAAGTTTGTGTGAAATGACCTTAATGGCCGTAGCACAGACACTTGCATAACGCATAATGCATAGTACATAAAGGAATCGACCAATCGAAATTCTTCTTTTCCATAGAAAGGGAAGAAAGGAATGATTCTGATTGATTTATTCTTTCATATGTTATGCGTTATGCAAAAGTCTGTGCTGCGGCCAATCGAGTAATGTCGATTGGTCGAAAACTTTAGGGACTCCGCACAATAAAAGGAACAAGGAACAGAGAACAGAGAATTTCAATCTATCAGAAATCATGTATTGTGGAATATATAGTTTCTGATAGGTTAAAATTCTTATTCTCTGTTCTCTGTTTCCTTTTATTGTGCGGAGCCTCTTACTGTTACTGATCTAGTTTCCTGATCGAGGAAATCGGATCAGAGTATAAGAACCAACCAACTACAGTCGAGTATTCTCTTATTACAGTCGAACGACAGGGGAATGCTCGACTGTAATTGGTTCTTACATTCTGATCCGGATTAAATTCTTGGTAGAAACTAGGCCACTGTTACGGAAAGTGTGTGTGACTAGCTTAAGTCGACCCAACGATTATTTTGCCGCGCAGAAATATTATATTATTTCTATAAGTTTTGCAAGACATTATTTAGGGTCTGAGCGCAAAAATTGTCATAACACTTACTTAGACTTAAATTGTAGACGTAAGTAACGCACAAGCTTTCACGTATGATAAAATTTATTACTGTGTCTCCAAGAGACGGCAATAAATCGTACGTCATATGCCGACGGTCTTGAAAGACTCGATTATGAATATCCCCTATAGGCCATAGTCGAATCTTATTTCAAGATCGTTTTAAGTAATGTCTTAAGACGCTAATGCAATCCTCTGATTGGTTCGTGACTTCTTAAAATTATATTTAAGACGGTCTCGAATGTAAAAATCTGACTATGGCCAGTATTCATAGTCAGATCTTATATTCAAGAATATAAGACCGTCTGCATTAGCGTTTTAAGACATTATTTAGAGTCTGAACACAAGAATTCATAAAATTTATTTGACTTAAAATTCATAAAACTTATTTAGACTTAAATGTCATAAAACTTATTTAGACTTAAATTGTAGAGCGTAAGTAACGCACAAGCATTGGCGTATGACGTAAGATTTATTGCCATCTTTTGGAGACACGGAAACCGACTTAAGTAATGTCTTAAGACGCTAATGCAACCTTCTGATTGATTCGTGACTTCTTAAGACTGTACTTAAGACGGTCTTGAATATAAAATCTGAATGTAAAAAAATCTTGAATATAAAATCTATAAATATCGGCCTATGAATATCGACCATAGAATTATTGATTAGTGCGAACAACTTCCGCCGCGCGGCAAGCTTTGTCGTGTTCTGTGTACAGGAGCCATAAGAATTAGCCAATCACACAGTAAAGGATTTTCAAAAACTTACAGCTCTGATTAGAGAGAAAGCATAATTTATACTTTAAGGTATCTTTAAATATGTATATACATATATATACAACATAAACACAATCTGCGTGAGTTGTGAAAGATTTTTTCAGCTTCAAAAATTTTAACTCTATACAGATATTTTAACTCTACAGACTTACTGCACATGCGCAGACCAACGTTCTTTTTCTTCTTCTCTCTCTCTCTCTCTCTCTCTCTCTCTCTCAAAATCCTCTTTCATAACAACATAGCAGAGCCAATCACGGAATAGTCAGCGTTGTCTGATCTCTATCTTGAGGATTTCTACTCCACTCTACGCGTCCACCCCTCCCCTCGTCAAACTGTCAAATCGACTAGCGTTGTTTGTATACGAAATTTATCTTCGTTGTTTGGCGTTGCAGGCAAACTCGAGTGTCCCGATTGAGGTAGCCTGGTTTCAAAGTCAGGTTCGTACCGTTTCTGCCAAGTTTTTTGTCTTGCGAGCGAGCGACCGGCGCGGTTTGTGCCATCAGTGATCCACCGTTCTGTCATCGCCAAGCAATCGCGATTATCGCTTTCCCTAATATCCTTTCCGTTTATCTATCCTTTTTATCTATTTACCTACCGACTTATTCACCCCATCTTATATGCGACACAAATATTCCGCGTGATCAATCACAATCAATTGCTTCTGTCTCCCTTCTCGAGGAACCGTCGTTGGAGCATCTCGCGCGTAAGGGCACTTGAGGGCTGACCGCTGACGAATTAGAGACCTGCTGCCCTCTCGTCTCCCTTAACCTATATTATAAAGGATCAATGAACGTTGTCGCACGTACGCGCGAGGAACATTTTTCGTCGCATCGCCAGTCAGAATCAGACCGCGACTAACCGCGACTCCGCGAGAGCATTTGAGAACGACCTCGCTCGCGGAGGTTGGGAACTCGCGGAAGTGTTTGGTCGGGTGTGTTTGCTTTTATGTCGTACGGATCCGAACATCGTTGATATTTGATCGAATATTTTTAGCCTTACCGAAGGTAATACGTATATTAACGAGTTTGACGATTGCAGGATGAGCCGGACGATGGATGAGAAGGAGGAACTGGTAAAGAAGGCCTTATTTAGTTTTGTTAGGAAGCAGGTACCCACCGCTCAATTGAGGTATAGATCCATCTTTTTCATCTCTATAATTATTTTCATTAATCTGGTTTAATCAGGTTGTTTTCCTTTTAACAGTTGATACAAATATCATTCAAAGCTGCGTTTCATTTCATACATGATAGACATGATGTTCATTTATCCTTGTTATTTATCGAACAAGGATAAATGATGCATCATATGTAAAACAGAATGTAGCTCTAGCTTTTAACATTCAATGAATCACTGTGTCTCGTAAAAGAAAAACAGTCATAATTACATTTGTAATACAATAACATTCTATGTAATAATAATTATTGTTTTTATTACACCGGATTTGAATAAACCACAAATGCTTTGTAAATGTCTATATAATTTTGATTTTTCTCCAATAAATTTTTTATTATGATGGGGACATTAATAGATATTCTCTTGTTTTAGTTTAATAGATGACATTGTGCTCAGTTATGTAGTGAGTATGGTAGAAGAAAGTGCATTGGAAGAAAATTTAGATGTGGATGGACTATGCGAAATGGTATCTGCCTGCCTTCCTGAGTTTTCTACTATCGAGAAAGAGGCTGTGTCGAAATGGTTGCTCGATGTAGAAAGTAAGTTGAAGCAGGAGAGTAAGGAGAATGAAAATTGCCAGTCCCATAGTGATCCGCTGAATCACATCAGTCTGGCTGCTTTACTGCCGGCCGGTACACAAAGAATGCGAGTCCATCATCTCTCGGAAACGAGTGACGCTGGAAGCGATTCCAGTGGAGAATACTTTTCAGAAGTAAGAGAAACACCGGACGTAGACATGTACGAGATGTGTTTTCGAGCATCTATTATAACTTTTTTTAGGAATCTTCTTGGCATCAGGTGGCTCTACTGCAAGAGATGTTTCCGGCGGCAAGTCCTGCCGAAGCGAGGCATTGTTTAGCAGTGGCTGGAGGCGATATAGCGAAAGCCGCGCAACTCGCATTACATCGTCAGGAAGCGGGTCAAAGCATCGTGAGCAATCTCACGTTTCTAACGGTGAGATTTCGTAGCGACGTTGCTTAATTATATAAAAGCGATATGATTTAAATGGCGGATTAAAAATCATTTGTTTCAGCCCAATGGTCGTAATAAGGCAAGATTGAACGATGAGGAGTTGAAGTCTCGTATTATCGCACGATATAGTTATGTTGATAGGGACGACGATTGTCGCGAACACCGTCCAGTCGCGCCGAAAACAGAGCCTAAGAAGTTGGTACGGTATCTTGACAATAAGATCGTAAGTGTAAAGGGTGAACGTTATACGGAAGTACGAAGGGGTGGCGAGGATGAGGATAACGAAGGTGGTAGGAAGAGAGGCCATTGCCGCCCGTAACCAGTCCCTTTGCCTCCACCCCCTGATCCACCCCCTTGGAGGCATCTAAGAGATTTTCGATTAAATCTTTAACTTAGATCATTTCCATCTTATCCATATATAAAAGTATAGACAAAATATTGAATTTAAAAACGTTTACATTTCTGTTGACGTTTCATTTTCATATGCATCCTGCACAATTCTTTTTCATGTAACATTAATTTATCACATTACATAGCAATAGTCAATTTTTTACTCGTTTGAATTTATTCACAAAGATAATCTTTAATATTTTATTTCGTAATGTAAATTATATCTTTATTGAGCGTGCAATGGCCGTTTTAAGCAAATATTCGTATTTATAGTTTAAATATATGAAGTTATACAAATACATTAGTGAGACACCTATTAACATCAAGAAATACTTACTAAAGACTTATGAGGAAGAACTTATTTTGTGTATGATAAATTGATTACAATCAATTATTTAACGTTAAGACGTTTTATGGCTTCCACAATCAAATATTCTTTTAAGCTTTATCAACACACACAATGCTAGAAATCAGCACGAGAAAGAATTAACAAATCACATTTGAACAGTACGGTCACATAACTATAATGCGATTGATCAATTCTTTCTCCATCCGAGATCTTGGATTGATTTCTAGCATCTTGGACATAAGAATTTGTCCGACTCGTTAGTAATTTTACATAGTAAGATAGAATTATAAAAGAGATACATATATTTGATTTAGATGATTATTTGTGAATTGTTATGTAAAAAAATACATAAATGTTTTATTATTTAAATAAGCTGGCTATTGTAAACTCGGCATTTGACTTAATATTCATTCCTCTTATTTTATTCTGATAATAGTTCTGTTATATTTTTCAAGTTTATTTATTTTATATAGATATAAGAATACTTTTTTTATATAGAATGATTCTTCAGAAACAGAACATCTGAATATCTTGATCAAAGATTTAATTTTTCTTTTCGTAATTGCCATACAAGTTGTATATAGTAATTTTGTGTATTTACTTGTATTTACTTGTATTAAATATTAAGAATAGTCCTGTCCAATCATGTTTTACTTATTTTCCGAATTTTTTCAAATCTATGTATCATATATTTTATATGTATTTAATTGCCTCTGTTTCTGATGGAACACTGTATATAAATAGCGCTAAATAGAATTATTTAATTGCATTATTACTTTGTAAGTGTGCGAAGAATTTTTAATATTTCATTGTATACTTTTAATGTTGCGATTACTTTATTTGTTATACAAATCATGTGAAAAACGTTGTTTTTTTTTCTTACATTTACATTAAAAGTAGATGAACGTAAACAAGAAGTGATTTATGAAAATATACCTGAAATGTATTTAATCAAATAGCAACATTGTCATGTAGTAAACTGAATTCTTTTTCAACTGCACTATAGGAAAATGTACTATATATATTAGACGATAAAGCAAAAATTTTTATCCGCACGTTTATTCAAGTGTCCAGAAATAATTATTTGACAATTTAGTAAGAGTCAATATTATCTTAGTAACATAAGAACAGATTGCTGCGAACGCGCGAAAATGTACGTGTAATTATCGTTTATCGAATAATCAAAATCGGGGAAGGATATAAATTGTAAAAATTATTTGATAGGTGACTTAAATCTTCTATAGCACCACGTATCTGTCAAATGAAAGCATTGATATTGTTAAACACAATTACAAAATATTGTAGATTTTAAATAATATATTGTAGTATACGTACTTAGATGAACACACACGAAAATATTCGCTAGAAAATATTCATTCTCTAGGGATAAAAAGTCTGCTTGAAAGCCGCCATACAATTTGCCAGTATTATTATCCTATTATTGTCGCTATCGCAGACTTTGAAATGTAGCGCAAATATAATCATTGAAGCGTTAGGAAGTCATGTATAGAATATAAACTCTAGACTTATTTCAGAATTCGTTATCTTGATGATGTTCGTATAGATATACGAAAATTGTGATTGTTTCCGAACGTTGTAACTGCGAAACACAGTTTAAATTTAAATCAAATATTTATTTGTTCTGTATTGAATTTTTTTAGCTTTAATATTACAAACATCTTTTATGATTCAAGGAAGCGATTTATATTATATTTGCTTGTCAACATTGCAGGGAAACGTAAAAGTAATTTGTAAAATTATTTACTTCACAGATTATCAGTTCGATAATTTCTAATTCTTCTTTTATCTTTAATTGCTGTTCTGCGTAATTGATCTTTTCAATGATAGTTGAACTACGTAAATATATGAATGTAATGCAATACATGTCTTAAAATGAGCGGATTCTTGCCATAGATAATTATAAATATATACGAACATGCTATTATTAAATTGTGTATTCACCGTGGATACATATTTGCTGAAAACTAAATGTATTTCATCGCCGATTAAATCTGAATTATACCGATACTATCAATAGATTTTGAGAATGATTGTTAAAAGGAAAAAAAATGCTAAAGGAATACAGTGAAAAAAAAAAATAGAAATGATAAAATGAATTACTTTAGTTTTAAGTAAATTTTCCACGAGTCCTACGTTGCATATAAGCACTGTGGCTATTAATTTTTAACTCGTTATAGATGTGAACTTTTCAAATTGTGTGAAAGTAAGATGTAATGATTGTAATTATAATATATTATACTTGCCTTTTAATATATTCTAATCACATGTCTAGATCACAATTAAAAATGTTAATACAACATGAATTCTTTCTTTTTGTCAATTGATTGCCAGCGATTATATGTAAAGATTATATGTAATTTTTGAGAATATTTGTATTTTTATGACTTTCTGGATCGAAAGAAAAATAGCGATTGTGACGATTATATAAAAGTATGAAATTAGGACGTTATATTCTGTATAGAATTTTGAGGCTTTCAGTATGTTCAACAAAAAAATCAATGTCAAAATGTTTTCTTTTTAAGTTGTATGTATAGTCACACAATGTACATCATATCTTTTAATCTTTTGCATTGTATGCAAAGAAATTTTATATTCGAAATTTAATTTTCATATATTGGATTCATTATTTTTTCGCGTAATTTGTTAGTTAACGAAAACAATATAAATATTTATCTAATATCAGTACCTATTTTAAAAACTTAAATAACTATGTGGCGTTCACATTTTTTTCATTTAATAATAAATTCGACCATCATAAATGTTTCTATTTTTCAGTGCACATTCTTCACAGAACATTCTGATATTTGCGATTAAACATTGGAGTATTACGCTTATAATTGCTAGGCTTTCATATATAATAAGTATAATATAGTTTCGACAAGTATTGATCAATATTTAATGTATAAAATTTGAACATTGTATTTCCTTTCAGGCAATTGTGGAAAGTAATCAAATTACGATGATCAATAAATCTCATAAATATCGAAGTATAACATTTTATATATATATATATATATACATACACACACGCGCGCGCGCATATATATATATATGTATATATATACATGTGTATATATACACCCA